TGAATGCATTGTCAGGATCCCAGCCTCCCAGGGCTTACTTTTTCTTTCTAGTGGCCTCAAGAAGAGTAAATTCTGCACCCCAAGGTTTTCCTGTAGCTATGCAACTCAGTTTAGCTCCAGCAACCCTGCCCCTTAATCCCAGTAAGAAGAGGCCCCAGTCCCTTTATCCCTGATGGCAACAGTGAGCTCAGTCTGCTGTTTAATAAATTGAAGAGACAGATAAGGAAAAGACAAAGAGCTCAATTTCTTCCATCAGTGTAAAGCAGATGAATGACAGGATGATGGGCTCTATGGTCTTGAGATGGGCTGGGAGTTGGAATGGGTGCTAGAGAATGCTGAAAAAGGATGAAGTTCAGGGATAAAGATCAGTAGGGAGGTAGCAGAGAAGAGTGATTCAGTGATTTCTGACCTTAGTCTCCTTTGACTTAAAGGCAGTACTCAACCTCACTGACTTCTAACTCTTAAAACTTTCAAATTAAATCAATCTTTCTCCTTGAAAACCTCAGTTTCCTCTCCTCTCTCTCTTGCTCCTCCTACAGAGAAACTGCCGATCTCCCACCACAAATTTGAATTTAGCCCATGCAGCTGAGAAAATCTGACCAGCTGATGCTGGGCTATTAGTGTCCCCTTTTGGGATGGGTTCAGGTTCTCCTTTTTAACTCACAGAATCACAGAATGTTAGGGATTGGAAGGGACCACAAAAGATCATCTAGTCCAACCCCCTTCCAAACTACTGCAACTCTTCTCTAAAGAATTTTGCAAAAAAGCTTGTCTCAGATTAAACCTGATGTTTCATAAGTAGCTTTTTCTTCAGAGATAAAGGCAGGCAAAGAAATCATTATTTTAAATCTTCAGATCTGGGAACTAGGACTTGTAATTTTTTATTAAAAATGATATTTTTCACTTGCAGAATCTGTTTGCCCTTTACTGATGCCTTTAGCATGAGTGTAGAGTGAATTTAAAATAGTGGTTGTTCTGATCTGGTAGCACTCAGACATACATCAACACATACAAGTTATAATTTTGAATAATAACAATAATGTTATATATCACTAAAGAATAACTTTCAATTCATGTCCAAATATTTTATAAATATTTCATTTGAATTAGAATTCATGAAAATGCAGGAAAATTTACTTGGGCAAGTAGTTATTTTATTTTACTATCAAGCCTCCTCCTCATGTTAGAGGAAAATATATTTTTTTCTTTTTGCTGTTTATTACTGAATATAAAGTTATTAATCCATTTCAGAGACAACACTTTTCTAAGTGGTTTTTTTGTTGTTGTTGTTTGTTTTTGTTTTTTTTACAATAGGTTTTTAAGCCAACTCAAGAAGTAGCAGTGTTCACTTTAAATCAACCAAGACTTCATATTGCTTGTAACTCCCACAATTATGTTTTCTTTGGAAGAGAAAGGGCTCCAGTTAACCATCCCATGAACAATCTCCAAAGCCCTCTGGTCATATTGTGACCATCAGTTAAAACAAATAGCAAACCATGCAGACATCTGAAACTGTCCCTACCTCTTAGCAGTGGGGAAGTAACGTGAGCAAGATGAACCATCCCAGGCACAGTAAGGGTCTCTCGCAAGGCAACACTCGGCACACGCTTTTCCATATACATCACAGCGGTGTAAAGGAAGCTGTGAAACTCCAGTGGCTGAGCCAATGTAGAGCTGTTGCTGTTATAAAGGTTTAAAAAAAAAAAATTGCAAATTATCAGTTTTTTACTAGGAAAACTTAAAAAATATATATAGTAATATGTTAGGATCATTACAAATACACTAAGGGATCATGATCCTTTAGTGTACTAAAGGAAAAGAAGAGAATTGTCCTCAGGATAAGAAAAAATCAAATAGGAAAACCACTGATTTTTGTATGAAGCTCTCAGTAGCTTCTCTAAAGACTAAGAAAAAAATAAAGTACTCTTCTATTTTTTCTTCTCTATTCAGATCCCCACTCTGGGAAAGTACTACAATCAGTGAAAGAACACAAAGGAGAATATGCTTTTGAATTTAAAGAAAAACAACTTTAACGCAAATTTCCTATACATGACCTTGATTTGTATGTGAGTGGGAGGAAAACTAAAGTAAATTATTTGAGACTGATGCTAAGATATTTCAGCTTGGAAGTGCTGCCATGCATGCACTTCTTTGCATGTCTCATAATTCCAATGCTTCATACTCTTTTCTATAGGTGACATACTCTAATTGAAACATATCTTTAATGAGGGGAGATGGCTTACTTTATTTTGGATAAAAACCAGTGTTGAGTGGAAGATGTAGTTCAAATGCTGAGAGAAACCATGAAGTAAAGAACAAACAATGCAAATAAAATGAACTACAGCTTTGTATGGCATCACAACAGAATATCTTGTCTCTCTCAATTTCCTCTTTGATATTCTTTGAATTCATGTGATCCATTAGGGCAGTAGGTCCCCAGAGGGACATAAGGAAACTGAACTACTGATGCCATGTGAAAGTCCAAACAGAGGCATGTCAGTTTAGCACTAATTCAGAAAGAATATGAGTGTAGTAAGTAAATACAGTTCCCTCTGAGATGCAAAACTAGAGGAAAACAAAATAGACAAAATTTAAATGACATATTCATGTATTGGAAACACTGACAGTTTGCTATCAAAAACTTAAACTTTGTCACCCAGCTCACATGGTGGAGCAATTAACATATTTCTTTTTAAGGTCCCACTTCAAGCAACCCCACCATGAAAATACAAATTTGTGCTCTTTTTTTTTTTTTTTTTTTTTTTCTTAGAAAACATAAGGCTGGTGTGGAAAACAGGATTTCAAGAAATGTTATCAAAATTCTTCATCTCCTGCCTTGTGATGTCCCAGAGGCACCATTTCCAGGGAATTCGAGGGTGAAAGGTGGTTGAGGTCACCTTCCAACTGGAAATGATGAGCACTGGATACCAGGAGAAAGCAAAACCAAAAAGACTCATAAAAGGTGTTGCATTAACTTCTTTCAGAGAGAGCAGCTTGGCAGTTTATACAGCCATATTAATTGTAACAGAAACATCCTGTGCATTTATATAAACAACAGTATTTTCTCAAGGAAAATATGACAATGAAAGCACCCAAAGGAAATTTCACTGGTAAATTGAAAACTAAGCACTTTCTAAGCAGCTGCTTCCATCTATTACAGTGCCATAGATGGCTTGTGAACCCACATTCTCTGGGCCAAAATTTCTGACCACACAGAGCTCTACACAAAGCCTTAACTGTATACACCAGTATACCAGTCCCTAGTTAGTGCTGTATCCTTGAGAAGCAGATGACAGGCATCAGACACGATAAGCTGATTCTTTCTAGCTTAAGTCACTTAATGAAGTACCCAGCTTAGGGGTATGTTCTGCAGTAAAAAGAGCAGCAATTCAAATCTTAGGTGACCTAAACATTTCTCAAGGGATATCTTTTCTCTTTGCTGATTATAGAGGCAGCATAGGTCAAATTAGAGCTTCAGTTAAGTATCTTAAATGTCCAGATGGTATTGATCTGAGTTCTATGTAATTGGGGAATTAATATCTATATAAGCATGTAGCAAAGTGTGGTGCAACTAATATAAAAATCAACCTAGAAAATGCACAGGGGAAAAGAAAGAAGAATGGTGTGATGGTTTCCTCTGCAACCCTGTAACCAATTTCATTTTGTCAAAAAGCCCTCCCTGATTTCTAATACATGTCTTCAGAAGTAAAGAATGATCAGAAACACACAAGGAAAAAAAAAAAAACAAACAAAAAACTGAGGACAAAACAGGGTTACTTAAAGACTCTATTCCTTGTAGATAAGTTCAAAAATTTCAGTCAGTGAACTATAGCACGTGTTTCAGGTGCTTGCACAGCCTGAAGGCTTCTGCTCTGTTTGCTGCTCTTCTGATCATGGTTTTAGACTCCAGCTGGTGATCATTATTCTGAACACTAATAATATATAAATCGAAGCAGTATGAAATTCAGAAAATAGTAATAGAATGATTTGCATCAATGGCCTGACCTCACTTTGCCATACACTGTCAAACTGCCCTTTGGGCAAAGGGTGTCTCCCAAGAGGTTGTTAATTTAATAAATGAGCTGATTATCAGATCAAACCAGAGTGAGGAAAGAATAAAAAATATTTTCTAAAAATTCTTGCAGAAGTATCAGAATTCCAGAAGAGATGAACAGACTAATGTCTTAAGCAATCCAGTTTGCCCTAAGGTGCTGCCCAAAATGCAGTATTTCCCTAGAAGTTGGACAAAGAGATAACTGAGAATTTTCCATTTGCAATTAAAAAAAAAGAGATGAAAAAATGTAATTCTTCTTACAAAGAAGAACTCAAGCAGAATTTTAAAAGGAACTTTAGGGATCATGAGGTTCAAATCCCATTCAATTTAAGTTTATGTCTTGAAATGTAACTGACACCAGTTATGTAAGTGACATATCCATTTTGAGCTGGTCTTTCCTATATGCTCACTATGGACAGAGATGGTGATCTCTGAATAAAATTCAGTATGTTACGAAAAGTACTATAAAAGTAGTCCTGAATGTCTCTGCCTTGCCTTTGATTGAGAATTTTAAGGAGGAGAAACAAAAGCTCTTCATAGCACTTCACCAGACAAGGAGATGGTCTGTATCAGTCAAGGCTCTCCTTGTTTTTTCCCATCATGGCTTTTTGAAACAGACAATCACCTAACCCTGAGAAGAAGATGAGAGCTTGCACCACAAAATACCACCTCTGAAAGACAGGCTTGACTTTTTGGCCTGCTTCCACATTTTTAAATCAAGGGAAAAATTATGGAGCCCCATCTGACAGGCTCAGGGCCAAGTGGTAGCCAGGGGCTCCCTGGAACGCTAGACCCACAGAACTGTGAATTTAAGTGGCTGCAGGGTGTTATAGTGGCTCTAGGATTCTGTTCTCTGAAGATTTGTGTCTATTGCTAACCATGTGCAACTTGTTCAGGTAATAAGGTTACACAAACCTAAGGCTCTGAACCCAATTAAGAGGAATACATAGCTTCAGTGAGAAAATATAAATATAATTCCTGTGAGTTAAAGGCCACAGAGTTGAAAAAGATTGTATCAAGGCTTAGTCTTGCACATAAAGGCTGAATTCATTGCTCAAAGTCACTTTCACTCAAGGGCCAAGTTCATACTCATAGAGAGAGGCATGGGGGCCTTAGAGTTTTATGTAACTTAAAACTTGTGCTAATTTCTGGTTCTGAAGAATTTGTAGATTTTGCTCTTTAGGAAGAAGAGTCATTTCTAACATGTCATATTGGTATGAAGGCAAAAGAGGTAGCTTTGAACAACTAGTGTCGTAAAAATTGAAAAATAAGGAGAAACACTCCATACCATGTTTTTACAATTGGTTGAAAGAATTGTTAGTGAAAAAGTAAAGTGAAGTTATTGCTTTAAAGTTATTCAATAGGACATGCTGACTTTTCTGTTTACATTTCATGCTCCTGCTTTGTACAATGCATGGAATTATCATGCTGTTTATATGAAAAACTCCCTGCTTATCAGAACGTAATGAGTAAAGTGTTTGAGTTATAAAAATACAGTATTTTAAAACCATAAATAGAAAATGGAAACATGTTGCCAAATACTTATTTGATACAGTGCGAAAAGCTTGTCATACTGTATCATGATTCTGTCATTTTTAGCTTGAGGCTGGTTTGATTTTTCAGGAGCTTAACTCTGCCCAAATAACTTATGCTTTATGCTGTTTTTTAGCTTTAGACAAATTTAGCAGTAGAAATTTGTTTTCAAAAGACTCAGGGATTATTGTAAACTCTCTTGAACAACTAAAGATGCTTTGAAGAAGAGGTTGTATGAAAATGCAGTCCATTATCAAAGCTGATTGGCTGCTTTAAGGGAATGTACTCATGAAAATAATCCAAAGCAGAGCATTTTGGTATGATGTGAATATATACACAACCTGACAAGTTTGTTTTTAAATATCCCAGTATTCAATAGTATATTTTTTTGTCCTGACATTTTTGTTGTTTTAGGTGGTAAACTATGCTAGAAGAGTGGCCCCAAACAAAATGTTTTCTGTCAAATACATGAATGTTTTCAGACAACTTTCCTAAATACAGTGAATTCTGAGTTAAATATGCAGCATTTCAAACATAGTACTGGGCTCTGTCCACTACAGAATGAATTCAGTTTCTGTTTAATAATGTATAGAGTGAGGTAGAGGAATTAACTAAATCTTATTTATAACATACACAGTTTTTAGTGCACCCACTTCTGCAAGTAATACTAAATCTCCTCTTTACTGACAATGACATTAATGGAAAAATTAATGAGGGTGAATAATTTGTTTGTGTTCACCAAGTTAGGCTCCAAATCTACACTAATAGGAAAAAGAAAAAAAAAAAAATGTTAAATTTGACGTGGAATTTTATGTCTTAGACTTTTGAGACAGGAAATCTGTCTGGGGTCCATCCACCTAATTCCAGGCACAACTGGCAGATAGGCCACTAATACCCTCTTCACTCCCAAACGACAATTAAAAGTTCTTTGCATGACTATATAATTCATCAGCTGCTTCACAAAGAAGTCTAATAAAAATTGCTTATATTTTTTTCAGAAATGCAGGAATCACCTGCAAGACAAAACTACCACCATTCATCAAGAAGACAAACCAGACAAAACTACCACCATTCATCAAGAAGTCCAGTTTGTTTTAGTTATCGTTTGGTCTACAACAAAGGTTATAGTACATATCCTTTCTTTAAGAAGCTAGTTATTAGTGCAATCAACAGATGTAGGAAATATAAATTCTGGAGTCTGGAACACATATCCTAACTGTGTCACTGAACCAGAAGATCATGGAAAATTTGGACTAAATCAGATCTACTCTCTTTGTTAAATCTGAATGGTGCCCATCCAGGAGTGGAACAGGTACTGGACAGAAAGACGGAAGAATGTCTCATTTCCAGTTTTTGCTTCCACTATCTTCATTTTGTACTAGACCATTCCTATGGTGACTAGGACTAGTCCCATTAAAGCAAGAGACCAAGTTTGGCCACTCCTTTTGAACAGTTTCTCTGCCATGAAAACATTTCATAACTTGGATTTTTTTTTTTTTTTTTGAGAGCTCCAGACAGCTGGTTAGTTTATGTTTAGTGTCCACCTTACCAGTAACACAAACTAGGCTTTTCCTTTCTCCTTTGCATGTCATGTTCTCCTGAGAAACTACTGATGTTTATGTAAAGAGATGGGATGCTGCCGCTGTAATTACATCTACTGACTGCCAAGTTACTGTCTTTAAAGACAGAGACCAATAAATGTTTAAAAGTGATTTAGAGTTTGTGCACATAGTACCTGTTTTGTGGAAATCTTCATTGCTGAAATAACAGTGGGTTCCTAAGGGGGAAAAAAAAAACAAAAACAAAAACAAAAAAGGTTAAAAAATAAAATGAGCGCTATAAACTAAAAAATTCTGCTAGAATGCTATTTGCCCAATCTAAAAATCCTGAAATTAGACACTCCTTAGTAATAGTGCTTCTTGTCTCTTGAAGTGGAATAGTTTCTAGCTCTAAGTGAATTAGAATGTGTGTATATATCCGGGTGCATCTTCAATTGCTATATTGATTGTAGACATATCATTTTCCATTATTATTACAGTTTCATTATGATTAGTTTGTTACTAGTTTCACACCTCAAATTTAATTTCTACGCTTAATATTAAAACTACATTTAAAGAACCTCCCAGGTAATATGAAAACAACGGTTGCATCAAAATATGCAGATACTATATATTAAAGGTGCAACACATTTTAACCACATCAAGGTGAAAAACCCATTCCCACAAAATTTTATTCATAAGAACAAGCCTTAATCTCAAGCATAATCTTGTGACCATACTATTCACGTACAAAGAAGTTACTTGCATTTGCAGAACACAGAACTAAAACGGGCAAGAGGGTTTTTTGCACCTTGGTATACCCATTATTTAATCAACCAAATGGGTCACTAGGAGAGTTATTTTTCTCCTAGACAAGTTTACTCTTAATTACACTTATCTGTAGCAAGCAACGTCAAAACAATATCTAATCTTTTACATGAAACACTGTAGGAAATATTTAACAGAATAAGTATGTTTAGATCTGATTAAAAAACTGTTACACCTTTTAGGTCCAGCTGCTTGAATATATTTTAATCCTGAGAGTAAAAGTGTCACGATTTGGTTACAAAGTGTGCAAGTCAATTCTGTACAAATTTTATTCCATCTAAAAATCTCCTGATCCTACACATCATACTTTTGCTTATGTACATTAATAAATTCCTTATTAAGCTTTTACACTTGTGTAGTTTGCAATTTGCTTATCTTGATATAATTTGATATGGATCAGTGGATTTTCAGCATGTAGACTTGCATTTACAAATGGGTTGATAGACCTTATATTAGAAAGCATCAATTAAGTGTAACATTCAAATGAAAATTGACCTCATTTGTTTGCTCAGCTGTTCAGAGAAATATTGCACAAATGGCTAAAAGAGACATTTGTTATCAATGTAACAGATATGGAAGACTTTCAGTTTCGTGGAATTATAAATGAAAAGCACTGTGTTCTGCACATTGCAGTTCAACCATCAAAATACATTGTTTATGACGCATGTAGACTCTTTGTAACTAAATAAAACTTACATTTGATTAAGATACCTGAAAAATCTGTTGCAAATTCCCTATTGAAAGATCCAGATCTTATACACACAAATTGAACACCAAAATCCTTTTGTGTAACAAATAAATACACATGTAATGCAAAATACCAGATCTGAATTTGCCATTAACCATTCTACTTCTATAAAGCTTTTCTGAAATAAAACTTTCAATACATTTATTTTCTTTCTTTCCCTTTTATATTTCCCTGATCTCCTTTAGCTTGGCACTTCTACTTGATTTAGGGAAGAGACTCATACACTATCAACAATTGCCAAATTACCCTGCATTAATGTAATTATTTTTGTGTGTATAAAAAAGAAAAAAAAAAGATAGGAACCACGAATTACTTGTCTCATTTTCTCCTCAGTTTCTACTTTATTTTTCTGTTAAAAAAAAAAGAAAGAAAAAACCCTCAGCCATCAAAACAACCATGGATTGTAGAAATAGACACACCCATTTTTCAGTGGTATCTTGCACTTGGTGGTTTCTGTGCAAGACTGGTACCAGTAAAAGCAAGATTGCACATTAAATAAATAAATAAATAGATAAAGGCATGGCAACTGAGTATGATAAGGACCCCTGTGGCAGGTTCTGAGAGGAGCCCTTCTCAGCACATCAGGAGTGAGACCACACAACTGGAGCTCTCCAAGCATTCAAGCATCATCTTCACACTGTAAGATTAAACTCATGCTCCCAGCTAGGTATCAACCACCCAAAAGCCTGGAGCCTGTGAAATGGTGCCATAAAATGGCACGGGCAAAAAGAATAATGAGAGGAATGTAAAGGATTTGTTTTTGTGTACAAAACACGAGACATCCCTAGGTTCTGTCTGGAAAATGTTTGAAAAGTTTACTAGGTCCCAACTTGCAGGAGTGCCTATGGGATGCCTTATTTTTCAGGTGGCTCAGACAGGAAAAATAGGAGATTGATTTTCACAAAAAAGTACTAAAGATTAGGGGGTATTTATGGTGTCTTGTGTCAAACCACGAAAATGAGACCCTAAAGTCACCTTTGAAAACATAAACACTTTCTTTGTTTCTCAGACTACTAGGTGTAAGAAATCTGTGCAGATCACTCTTTTTCCTAAAGTATTTTCCTAGTTACATTACACTGATAGTCTGAAAAGTGTTAAGCATTGATGCAACTATAAAATTCGTGTACTGCATATCTCTGTGGGAGAAAACAGACAGGCATTATTCCTAGACTTGCACAGATACATATTTAACTACAGCATGCAATAGCTCTAATATTCAGAGATGCTGATTTATTTTTAAAACCAAAAAACAAGAACCCAGAATGCCATTTCTTTTATCATTAACCTCCAGCTAGCACTGAAAGTTTCAAGGTTTATTTTGACTAGTGTCTGGGTCTCTAAATGACAAGCTAATTAGAGGGGTATGCCAGGCTATTCCTTGGCTAGACTGCAAGAAGTTTAGTTTGCAGCTGTTCACAGAGAAATCTATAACCTGACACTTGAAATTTAGCTGCACTTACCCGAAAGACTGTCATTTCTTCCAGCAAGACTTCCTCTAATTCATGCCAAGTCTCCTTAGGAATTGAAACCACTTTAAGAACTGTTCCAATATCTTGAAAAGGAAGGGAAAAAAAAAAAAAAAAAAGTTTTCAGGTGCTTGAGAAGCATACTTCAGATTCAGAGCAGCCAGAGTTTCTTGTAGTACATAATCACTTCACATAAAAAGATCGTGAAGCTACATATCACTGAGCACTCATTCAAAATACTAACTGCTATTTAAAATAACCTAGAAAAACATTGAATTTCAGTAAGATATTTCATTAAAGTCTTTCAATTATCAAAATTCAACAAAGAAGATAAATATTACTAGTTATTAAAGAATGAAAAGGACTGAAATTATATTTAAGTGACAGTATAAAATGACAGATGTTTCAGTCATTTAACTGAGGAAGAAAATGCAGTAAATTTACCCAGGCATGTCTTAGCGTCCATTGTGAATAGGATGTTTGTCATTCTTAAAATGCATGTGAAGGTGTTGTCAGAAGGCTCAGTATGCTTATAAAATGTTGTTAGACAGATGAAGCTGCTAGATCTCTTAAGTACATGCAATCTTCCCCATGTCAAATAAAGTACCTAAGATGTATAAGCCCCTTAAGGAACCTGTTTTTCTCTGTGTGTACAAAACTAGTCTTTGCTGAGGGGTGAAAAGCAATGCAACTTGCATCTTCTGTTTAGAAAGAGGTGTGTGCCAGCATTTTAATACTATATCCATTTACATTCTTGGGGTTTTGCAATTGATTTCAACATGAACAAAGTGAACGCCTGAAATTCCAGTGCTACAGCCTTTAATTTTGTGAATATGGTAAAGACTTAAGACCATCTCTGTTTTACAGCTTCTGCATCTGTCATTTATTTGTTTGTTTCCATGAACAGAATTTTCAGGGAACAACAACAAAAAATCATCATTTCTAGGTTAATACACATCACTGCTGGCTCTCTGAAATTGAAATACTCTGGATGTGACTTTTCTTTTTAACCAGCCAAGTGTAGTGCCATGTAAATATGTCATAGGAATAGCAACACATCCCTGAGGGTTTTTCATGTTGAACATTCTATATCAGTAGTAGTTTAGGAAGATATAAGGCTTTTTAAATGGATAAAATTCTCAAAGTAACAGAACTATAAAAGTCAACATTCTCAAAACAAGAATTCACCAACATTTACACAAAATTGAAACACATTTTGTAAGTGTATATATTTGTGTGTTAGTTGAAACTTCTGATTAAAAAGATGACAACTCACCACTTTTATATTGAAAATAGATATTAAATTGAAACGAATAGATTACACAGGTGAAAATTTTTTAATAAGGTGACTAACCTAAAAGCTACTGATTTAATGAGAAAATTTTGGTATTTAAACTTCTTTACATTAATTTGGATTAAAATATTCTAGAAATCCTAGAATATCCTGTAGTACTGAAATTTTCATTTTTCCCTCTGCTCCGTTTTAAGCAGATGTTGGTTTCTAAGCACATATTTTTTGAAGTTCAGAAAGAAGTTATTTTTTTCACACAAAATATCTAAATCACAGAATCACAGAATGGTAGGGGTTGGAAGGGACCTCTGTAGATCATCTGTCCAACCCCCCTGCCAAAGTAGGTTCACCTAGAGCAAGTTGCACAGGACTGTATCCAGGCGGGTTTTGAGTATCTCCAGAGAAGGAGACTCCACAACCTCTCTGGGCAGCCTGTCCCAGTGCTCTGGCACCCTCACAGTAAAGAATTTTTTCCTCATGTTTAAACTGAACCTCCTGTGCTCCAGCTTGTGCCTGTTTCCCCTTGCCCTATTGCTGGCCACCACTGAAAAGAGTCTGGCCCCATCCTCTTGACACCCGCCCTTTAGATATTTATAAACGGTAATAAAGTCGCCTCTCAGTCTTCTCTTCTCCAGGCTAAACAAACCCAGCTCTCTCAGTCTTTCCTCGTAAGAGAGATGCCTCAGTCCCCTAATCATCTCCATAGGCCTCTGCTGAACTCTCTCCAGTAGCTGCTGGTCTTTGTTGAACTGGGGAGCCCAGAACTGGACAAAGTACTCCAGGTGTGGCCTCACAGTAGAGGGGAAAGAGAACCTCCCTTGACCTGCTGGCCACACTCTTCTTAATGCACCCCAGGATACCATTGGCCTTCAATGAGGACAAATCACTGTTTTCTTTCATTAGTTGCTGAGAGGGAACACCCATGGACTCCACACACAATTCAATGTGAATTCTACTGGAGACCTTTATTATTGGTTACATGATCACTTATATACTCTTAAGCTGCTAACACACACACACACAAAAAAAAAAAATCCCCAACTCTTCATTGGCTAAAAGCTACTGTTCACATGTCTGGTTACAATACTTGATTGGATAAATCCACCTGTTCATGAGGCATTCTTTTTACTTCTGACTAGTTACATAAGAAGTTTTCTTATCTTGTTTTTCTTGCATTTTTTCTCATCAATCTTATTATCTTGTATTTTCTCACTCAAAGTCAAGACTTAAGTGCTCAAGGCTGAAGCCGCTTGCAGCTCTGGCTCTTAAAGGGCCAACAATTAGTCACAAGTTCATAGATTCTTTCTTTAAAAAGATAAAAAAACAAACAACAGTTCTTTCTTAAAACAACAACAACAAAGCCAAGCACAGCTTTCTTTTTATTTAGGCAGATACATGTACAAACTAAACTAGTAAAACTTACTAGTTGTTTTGGAAGTGTTTTTCATTATGGTTACTGCTACTAATTGAATATATTTCATTCAGGAAATATTGAGAACAGTAAAGAACAAATGCAATATAAACTTTAGAACAAGAAGAAAAAAATTCCAGATTTATACAACAGAGTAATTCAGAATAACAGATAATTTAACGTTAGTTGTATTTGTAATTTAATGGATGAGTTAATTTCCTTAATTATCCTGATAATTTGATGACTGTGGTTTTGAGGAAAATATATTGTATGACTAAAAAGGGAACTCTGGTGTAATAAATGTAACAGTGTAGCAATGTGTTATGACTGTATTCTGTGTTGTACTATGGCTGTCCTCAGTCACAATCCATCAAATGACATATTCTAGAAATAAAAGGGGATTTTTAATAAAACAGTACAAAGGAAACTGGGGGGCCTGAGTGGGCACTGAGCACATAATGTTGGGTTTTTTTTTTTAAAAAAAGTCTGAATTTTAAGTGGATCCTGAACAACTACAGTCGCTTGATGCTCAAGAAAGCCTCTGAGGTCAAAGATACACTGTGTTAATCACTTCAGTGACTCTGGTCAGGCCATAGGTACCAAAGTGGGGCCTTATCTGAGTTCTAGATCAAGTTTTATGGAGTAGTATTTCAAACAATTTCACACAAATGGAATCAGGCTTCTCCTTTAGGATCAATAGGCTCTGCTGGGTAAGATAAGATTACTGTTATTAATTTGCTTTACTGACAGATGTACCTTGACTGTACCAAATGATCCCAAACATCAGACACTCAGGATATGCATTAAGTGCATATCTTAAATCCTGTTTTTTCTGATATAATTTCAAGCAGGCTGATATGATTTTATTTCCATTGTGAAACACATTGGTACAATCACAGTGGGAAAGAAACTGCTCAGCTAAAGATTTCACCCACAGGAAAGGAAAATGTGACCACACTAGATGGCTATTAATTATGTTGTGTTCAATTATCAGTTATTCAATGAAAAGGAAAAAAAAAAAACAAAAAACAACCTATTTCTTCAACACATTGAAGTTCAGTAGCGTGTGGGAATAATGTAGATTGCTGCAATGGTTATGGGAAAATACAGAGAAATGTATCTAATCTGATGGGACAGACCTGCACAGAAAAATCCAGTCATACCCCAGAGAGCTTAATCTTGGCTTTGTCATAGGTTCAGATCATCCAGTGGAAAACTGGACTGTGACTAGAGTCCCTAATCTCTTCCCCGGCTTGTTTTTTACTTGGGGAAGATGTAATATGTGTTGATTGTGTTTCTGGTTCCTTTGACTCTGACCAGCTGGTTCAGTGCAGCTTTCTGGCAGAAGGCATGCAGACCCTCAGTTCTGCCTCTTTTCCTTTCCCCCTAGATGGAAGATGCCCTTTCCTCACTCTGAAAACCACAACGAGGATAGCGAGCTCAGAGGAGCACCTTTTGTGCCCCAGCTCCAAGCACAAGTGTTGTAACACCTGTTCTTGTCCCGTGAGGGTATAATGTCCTGCTGGAAAAAGAACAGTTTGTATAGACAAAAGTAATACTTCAAGAAATAATAACACTCTGTAGTTATGAAGCTGTGTTTTTGGTGCTGAAATCTCTTTTGGCAAGTGCAAGTAATAACCTTTCAATACTTTTCTTACAGTTCTTGGGCACAAATATCAGCAATGTTGGATGGGATCCAGAGCACTTATGACACACCTGAAATATTAGTGGTTTAGGGAACTGAGTGCCTAAATTCTCACCTCAAAGGTATGAGCTAGATATCATTGAAGCTCTTTCAGAGGGAGACCTTGCCTGACTAATTTAGATAAGAACCACTATACATAATGATAACTATCTAAAAGCTATAGCTCAGGTTTAAGCAAGTCTTCCTGTACTGTCTGAAAACAGACAGGAACTTCTGCATAACTATTCATCTTGCTCTGATAGAGGTTTTGAAGAAAGTACAATGAATCTCTCTCTGGAATTACTTATCTCTCTCTCTTGCAGAAGACAAGGCACCTTTCTTAGACTGAAAGCCAAACTTTGATGAGATAAATGCCACCTCTTGTGCTCAAGATGTAGACATAAATCAGCTTCTCATGTTTGTTCAGCATCATACTCTGGAAGCTGAAGGGCTTGTTCCCTCACATCACTGCCAAGAGGAGTATTGCCATTAATTTTTTTTCTGGATTGAATCAGGTCATAGAAGACTTGCTGAAAGGCAGAAAACACTGCCAGTTTTAGATGGCATTGAAGTCTCTAATGTGTGATGGAAAATATATGTGTTGTGCAAAATCATATGAAACTACTTTTCCATGTTTTATGCAGGAACATATTGTAGCACTGGTATCTAATAACTCAGTTCACAGCTTTAAAGAGCTGGAACACTTTCTACAGAGCTGCATTTCCTGCAGTAAATGTTCTGAATTGCTATTCATGCACTGTGTTTGGTACGCAAAGCTTCATCAGCTCTCAGTTTACTCGTAATATATTTCAAACATCAACATGAAAGAAAGCTTGAGATTTATTGCTTTGGAAATCTGACCCCAGGTCTAGAGCACCAGAACTGTACTTAAAGCAAGTCAAAAATTGGACTGTTATAAGACAGCCAGCCAGACACATATTTTTTGGGCCAAAGCTGAAAAGAAACAGTGGGGGTTTGGTTTGATTTGTTTTGACTTCATGATGCCAATGTCTAATTACTAGCAATTATGTTCAACAGAAGTTTAAAATACTTTTATTCAACATAACTAAGACACCAGCCAACTAATGGAATATCTTCAAAGGTGAAGAAGCAGATCCACCAACTGCATCAACATAGTTTTGAAGCTACTGAACTTAGGCAAATGCATATTAGCTAATTTCTGGCCACTTATTCCTCATTATTACCTTTCTGAGCACGTATTTCACTTTTATAAAATGCCCAAGCTGTATGATTCTGCAACGCTTTGTAAAGGATATCACGCTTCTATTTGAATAGTAACTCTTCTTAAACCACTTTGCACATGACAGATATCTTAATCTTAAGCAAAGTGATGCTCTCTTCTGACTAAAGAGCTGGGCATCTTAAGGCAATACTTGAAATACTTGAAAGGCACACGAGACATTTCCCATACCTGTATACTTGTCTCATTCATGTTAATACTTCTTATGCTGCACTTCAAAATGGCTACCTCAAAACTTGCATTTTAATACTAAATTACAATTAATAAGGCAAGACAATTCTAATAAAATTCCCTAATAACAGCAGTTGAAAAGAAAGTGGTTTGATCTTAATCCAGTTGGCAAAGCTCCTAAAGAATTAAGCTATGCAGGCCACAGCCTGAACCTGTAACAGTGAATGTATGTTACAAAGACCTCCCCACATGCACAGTTTTGAGTCTTTCCCCAAATTTTCACAGGTATACACTGGAACATAAATCAGTGCTCTGTCTTTCAGAGTATGACATTTTATCTGATCTATGTCTCCATAATGCCTGGAGGAGCATACAGTATAAATTCAAGATTTCTCACCTGTGCCAATGAACATCACATCATACTGGCCATCCTCTGCATCTACTCGATCTACTACTATCTGTGTGAACTGGTAATCCACGTCCGTTTTGATCATGATTGGACGGTTGTTGATGGGGAATACAGGGTTGTACATGGCTGGATGACTTCTTGCAAATGTTATAACTTCATCAGGAAGGTCCTTGGTGGAATCAAAGCCTCCAAACGTTTTACTGGGACACTGGAAATAAAAAAGAAAATGTTCTACATTTTTTTATTGATCACCAGTAACATATCAGAAATCCATTTCATTACAATCATCCCAACTACTGCAGTCTATAATTAAATATGACAGGGGATCTAAGTGTTTAACGACAGACAGCAAAAGTTAATTCTGTCACTAAAAGGTTTTGGCTTTTTTTAAGTTTGGATTTAAATCAATATGGTTAACAAAATGCAAATAAGCCTCATTTTTCTTACTATTAGGCAGTGCAAAAGGATTTTCAATCATTTACTTATTAGTATTGATCTTTAACTGACAGAAGGAAGAAATCCTGAATTACATAAAATCTTCCAATGTTGAGACGAGCAATTTCAGTATTTGGTTATGTATACAACAGAAAATTAATTAATTATGTCACCATCGTTGTTTTAAAGTATTGTCTTCAGAAGTTGATTGGAAATCAATTCCTCTCTGAGGAACCACAGCCTTAAATGCCGGGACAATTCCATGTTCTACTGACTTTTTAAACTCCTGCTTGTCTCAACAACCCTATGTCATCCATGTAGTCCCGATAACATAGATCCTACCACACTAAATCAAATCAAATGAGTCATGTCCTAAATGTATCTCTTCTCTGTTTATTGATTCTAAAGAAAGCCTTGTGTGAGTGTTGCTGCTCTTACTGTCAGTGTGAACAGTTAGGAGAGACAACTCTCGCTAAAGATTTGAAATAAGTCTTCACTGTTGTGTACTGCACAGTAATGGAAAAGTTGGTGTCTCCTTGGGACTAAGCTGACCCACGTGAAGTAACACAGTAGAGAGTCCATGTGCCTCCTTATACAACCATGAGTGGGCCAAACTAATTTGCTTCTAATCTGTGAAAAGCAGAGAATTTTCTGCTCACATTCTGCCAATGTGAAAAAAAACCAAAAAACAAAAAACCCCTAAAAAACATAGAGGCTGAGAAGGAAAGAGTGGTAAACCCATGGCTTTGGTATCCACAAAAATATTCCTCCACTTTCACCTATCTCATGTCCCCATGGAGAGATGTGAGGACTGTGGCTAATCATCACTATTTGCCCTCGTCTCTTCTGTAGAATTTGGAAGTATTTTATGAACAATTAGAGGTTACTTTAAAGTAAACATTGGTAATGTGTTAGCAATGTTGAATGGATGAACCACAATGTCATCAAATCACCAGTCCAAAGATACTCGGCAAAGAACTTGGTGTCCCCCACTCCTAATCTGTTCAGAGATACCTATTTAAGACATATAAAACTCTGAAACCCAGTTAACAATTATTAAATTTGCAGCATTTTAACCTGAAATAGAATCAGCTGGTGTTAAAATGCCCTAGAAATTTTTCTCCTTATATCCACATATAGAATATCTTCCAATTAAATTAAAAACCTAGAGGACAATATCTTATTAACCAAGAATACAGACCTTGCAGGATACTCAGCAGAAGAAATCAATTGTCTTTGCTATCACCTTGATCCAAATTATTAATAATTCATCAGAAATTAAATTAAAAAATCAATGTTGTCAAAAAAGAATAGTTGTTATACTCAGCAAAGAGATGCTTCCAGCATGGACATATAAAGTGTAAATTGTCCCTTTTTGGCATATTTGTTAGTAAGCAAATTCCGACACTCTGTTCCATTTCATGGTATGGAAGGGAGGAATGGAGGGAGGGAGGACATTTGATTAATGCATGTGGAGCAGACTAAGCAGAAAGCAAATTAGTTATCTACTTTATTGTGTCAACATTTTTCAGCCTTTTTATTATGAAATGTTTGTGCTCCCTTGTACAGAAATACTACAAAGAGAAAATCAGAGAGGCTTTTTATAATCATTAATCAAACCACAGTTTGTCCCCAAAACTGTGTTTAAAATTCTACACTTCAATTTTAAGTTTTCTTTATAACTTGATTAATATTCTAACTATAGTGCAATACTAATTACTCAGATTAATTGGATAACATACGTAAAGTGCTTTAAGTATAAAAATTACTACACAAGAAATAAGTATTGTTAATTGCAGCTGAGCAAATTAAAACATATTAAATTAATATTATTTCAATTTTTAGTAAATGAATTTCAGCTGTATTTCAATTGCGTGAATATTTACTTTCTGTCTCATTTTCTAACACAGGATTGTACTCACGGCAGATGACCAAGATAGATTTTATGCAGAAAATCCATAAAACTAGAATTTACATCATAATTACGTGTGTTTAAGAGACTACCAATTCTGAGAGCCAAATTACTGCTGAGATCCCCTGCTTTCATGAGAATAAACAAATGACAATAACTTTGTGTCCTTACATCTAAAGTCTAAAGTGCACTACCTGGCCTCACATTCATTTCACCTCACTTTAGGAAACTAATTGAGGTAAAATAAAGCTCTTTGCTATATAACTCCCTCCCTTGTCAATGGAGTGAAATGGGTACCACCAGTAGGTGAGATTTAGCCCATCCATAGTTCAAATTGCTTGCAGAGAAATCTCAATCCACCTAAAGTCTGAGTCATCCTGAGGAGGAAAGTCCTGTCATGTTTACTTATATTATGGTCACAAAATGGGAATACACAACAAAAACATTTATCTTGATGCTAATGACAGGACTGCTATCGATAGTAGTGGGTTTAGGTCAAGCTAATTGGCAAGGTGCTTCATCAGAACCCATGTTTATATACCTGATCAGTCCCAGTGGTATCAAGAAAACAGAAAGGTTTCATGTGCCAAAAGACAGGCAGGAATACAAATGTCCTGAAAAGGTTGGAGAAATTAGTTTGATCTTGGATCGAAGAAGAGTCAAAGAACTCTTGCATTTTACAACTACTTCCAATTGCTGGTCCCCAGTACGCTATGTCAGGGGTTTTGATCAGTCAGGAGGAGGTAACTAAGCTGTCACCTAACTGGCCCATTAGGGAATCCAACAGAATAATTCAATAGCTGCATTTTGGTAGGAACAAAAAGTGTTTCGGTCATGACTGAAGATAGACTCTTGGTACCATGAAACAGAGAAAACTTGAGCTCTGTTAGCTGAATTCACAGAAAGTCAGATATGAATCCAGGATGAGTTACATCATTCAAGATGAGGTATATACAAAAATCGTTCCTCCTCTCCCAAATATTGTTAAAAGGTAAAAAAAAAAAAGGAAAAAAGACAAAAAAAAAAGTTCTATAGATCTTAAAGGAAAAATCCTGGCAACATCATTGTTAAATGCGAAGCTGATGTAGAATTGTTTACAAAGTTTTCTGACTCTTCAAAAGAATCATTAAGTTTCCGTTTTCTTTACTGATACTGGGCAAGTCACCAGATGCTCAAGAAGTTTACTAACACCTCTGCTATTAAATTCCTCAGATAATTCAGCACTGTGTAACTGCAGTGAGATTTGGAACTGAATCACTGTAAGAAGCTCAGGTTCTGTTTCTCCCTTCTATTTCCCCATTTCTTGGAAATCACAAGTCTGACATCTAAAGGAACTTCAAGAACTTTTCTTATTTATTGTCAACAGGTCTTCAAAGTCATTGAAAATACATTCACTTTATCACTTTAGAAACAAAAAGCTTCTTTTCAGACAGAAATGTTTCTCATTTAAATTTTTTTTAAAAGTAGTTTTATCCTACTGAAACAATAGAATGATTATAGTAACTGTGAGGGAAAAAAAAATCTTTTTCGAAGTGGTAGACACCAGGATTAGAGTCAGTGGCAGTTGTCTAGGAGAAACTCTTTAACTATCATTTACACTGGCACAGCCTCTTGCACTACATGATGTGGCTGCAGGGCTATGCAGAATTGTGTAACTTGGGATCACATTCGCCCTTAGGCAGGACAAATGTTTACAATGAAATCCAAGCATCTTCACACTTTCTTTGTGAATCTAAGTATGCTATAGTGAAATTGTAAGGGTAAAATAAAAAAAAAAAAAAAAAGTATATGTAAGTTATCTGTATTTTCCTACTTTTGGCAAAAGATCCAGTGGCTTACGTCACCTAGTCACTTAGGGCTGCATTTGGGTCCCCACTTTTCTGCTTGTTTGTGGGAATTTAATCAAGTCATTCTCCTCCCATATGGATCTCAGTTCAAGACCCTCAGACAAGTCTTGGAATAACCCCCAGGCTCTGAAGCAGGCAGAGCTGTGTTCCCAGTGTCTAGGGCAAATATTTGAGTTGTGCATTCAGAATGTCCATAGAGCTGCATCTGATCTCTGCTCAGGAATGAATGTAACAGAGCCACTATGCAGCAATCAGTTCTTTATCTCAGTCTGTTTCTGTGATAGAAACATGTAACATTCTTCTTTGTCTGTAGTTTTACATAGTATCTATTAATTGTTTTTGTTTAGAGAAGTTAATCAATACTGGAATCAAAGGGGAATATAGACAAACAGCATAATGAACACTAACTTAAGTCTGTCAGACTGAAAAGAAGATAACATTAGCTATATAAGAAATACCAAAAATATCTACTCATCCACGTTTTCCACAGGAATGTAAAACAATACAACTTCAAAAAAACCTCTCTGATATGTCAGCATTAGCTATGGTAATTAAACAACAACAACAAAAAAATCAGAATCAAATGAGAAATGAAACCTCTCCTAGATGCAAAGCTTATGTTCTAACGCTGGAAAAAATTAGGATTCCCTTTAGCAGTTGTAGTGAGGGAGCGAGGAGTGCTGAGGAGTCAGGCTGTCAGGGAGTCACTGTTTTCTTTCACTTAGGAAGTCATTTTCATTAGATTGAGTATATATATTTTCTAACTGTTGGAGATCAGTTGAAAGATCAGGTTTGAAAGAACAATTTCAAAACATATCAGACAAAAGTAGAAAATCTGATTATTTAAAGGAAAGGATCAAAGTTATTCCTGATTTTTTTTGTGCCTTATATTCACAGAGACTTTTAAAAGAGTATTATAGACAGGTATATTACTTACACTTACGTTTATATGTATATATGTGTACACATATATTTAATCTTCAGCAATGATATCTCAGAACTTAGATGGGCCAAGTTGATATATATATACTAGCTAAGGAGCTACCCCAAAGTATACAATTAATGCTTCCTTCATAAACGTCCCATCTTATTAGACTACTGAAAATTTCAGAGGCTGTTAAGTATTTCTAGATTGTGATGATATCATTTGGAAGTTATAAATATGGATGTCTTATATTTTAGTCATTCATAAACTAGAAACAGAGAAACAGGTAGAAGCATAGATTTTTAAAAATGCCAATGGAAGTTAGAAATTATTACAGTCATTCTACATCCACTGTAGAAAAATCTAGTCTTACTGTACTTGATTTAATGTCGAGAACAATTGAAAGTTTCTCAACAGCCAGGCAGATCCTCTGTTTTCTGTTCATTAGCACTTAGAATGGCTCTGCCAACATTTGGAACAAAGACAAATTCCAAGGAAGGGATAATGCAGAGTAATTTATTAAATGTTTGACTTTCAGTAAAGTTCTCCAGCTATTGCTCAAACTTTTGCTGAAGTTGTTAATATTAATGTCAAAATTAAAATCCAAATGAAGTTGTTATTGCAGTTTCATACTTTACAAGACAATCAGTACATTTTGGACTTAGAGGAATTGTTAGCTTTCCCTTCTGTCACCCTATCTATTCATTGTATTTTTCCGTTTCTTTCCTGGATCTCAGCTCAAGGACTATGTAACGTGAAAATATTTTCCATAGCTTTGCCTTTTTAGATTACTATGTTTCTTAGGGTACTTACAGTTCCTGGCCGTGGATATGGCACTCGCCCTTGGTAGGGAACCCACTGGTAGTTTGGGCCATCTCGGTGGGCATAGGGACCAAGAAATACCCTCCTCACATCAGTCATGCTGTACATACACACCGCTGACCCCTTGAAGATATTACTAAAAAGGAAGGAAGAAGAAATCAAATCAGGTTCTTTAAATTATCAGTCAGTTTAATCAAGTGGAAGAGCTATGGGAATAGCAGCTTGTTGCTTTCTAATTTATTGCATGTGCTGATTATCAAAACTCTGACATGCTCTCAGAGCAATACTAACTCACCTCCTGTGAAAGTTCAGCATCACTGATATGATCTCTCAGACATTTTCCTAAGCAGATGGCTGCTATTCCACTATTTCAAACATATTGTCCCCAGAAGGCCAAAGCCCCAATTTGAGTAAACTTCAACAGGGCTGTCCCTAGAGGGCCATTAAATTCTTTCGTACACTTTGCATTTTCTATTTTTTTTAGCAATCTCTTCCGTCATTTGGATAGCACACACACAAACTTCAGTGTTGTTTCTTACCTTGAGTTTTCTTACAGAAGACAGTAAGTACTTAGCAATCTCCCTCTTCTATGCCTGTTATCACTAGAAGCATTCTTTCCATTTAGAAACTAAAACTTTTGTCCTTCACAGATAAATGTGGCAATGCAACCAGTACTGCAAACCTTCCTCAGGCCAAAGCTACAAGTATAATTTTGGTTTTGGTGACAGCATAATGAAACCAAAACATTCAAGTCACAGTTATGTGTGATACAATAACAGAACTTTTGAAAGACTGTTAAACTTGCCAAATTTCAGCAATATTTTTCACTAATACCTCCCCGAGTAGCTCATACCACAGATTTTCCATTTCACCCTGCCCCCAAACAAGCATATTTATGCTTGTGCTATTTTTCCAGGTCTGTCTGGAAAGGGCTACAAATTCTGATTCTCACCATTAAAAGTCAATTCAATGGCAAAAACAGCCTAAGAAATTGATAGTCTTTGTGATTAATTGCTTCAGAGTGATGATGTACATTGCTCATAAGAAACCTAATTCATTACTTCTCACTGCCACTGACTTCTCAGTTCAAAGGTTAAGAAAATTTTGTGGTTTTTAAAAACATTTTTAACAAAGAGAGCTCTTTAAAACAAGCAGCCTCCCAAGTCTCCATGCAAACAAAATCATACGTTCTATACCTGGAAGTTGTAAACACTCCATAGACTATTGGATTTTTAGGGTCTTTTGAGTTCATTAGGAACACATCCTCTGTAACAATAACAAGAGATGGAAAAGTTAAAATTTATATGGATAATACCTGAAAACATTTCTGTATTCAAAGCCATTTCTGCCACTTACGTAGTTCATCAAAGTGTGTGTCAATGCCATTGGGTCCTGGCACAGAACAAATCAGACGTGCTTTGAGGAAAGTTGTCCATTTGTTAACAAGGCTCCTGTGCCCACCAAAGTCATTCTAATAACAAAATTATTTCACATTAATATCTAGTAACAGGCATTGTTTGAAGTATCAACAGAGTATATATATGGAGAAAATACAGTAAATAACCACAAGATGCTACTTACAGAATACAGAGAAAAGAATTCAACTTCTTCATAGAAAAGCATTATGTTGTCAAAGACAGTAATTCTGAATTACTTTTATTTTACATTGTATTGTGCCATATTTCATAGTAGTATATAATTTAAAAAACAAAACCAAAACCACCCAAACCTCTTTACATATGGCAATACATATATAACTCTGAAGAAAGATGGGCACAGTATTTTGCACCAGAGCTCCCAGGTCGCCATGTCCTGGTAAGACTTAAAGGGTTTATTATTCTTAACTGGGTAGCAACAAATTAGAAATGTGAGTTGCAAGTGAACAAAGTAGATAAAAATGCCATAACAGAGGGATCAGTTTTATAGCTCTAAAACTTACAAATAAAATGCACCAAGGACTTTTTGGTGCAAGCAGCTACCTCTGGATTTAAGGAGATAAACTGAAATTGTGCTTATGGATTAACATGAGATTTTACTGTAAACATTACAGTTACCAAAGCCAGAATATTTATTAATGTAATTTCATTTGTAGAAATCTTTTTAAAAGCCTGTGTCCTGGTTTAGTGAAACTATCACAGCCTGTCAGAAAAATATTTGGACATTTATCAGTGTGGATGAATGATTCAATCTGCAGTCATTAAGGTTTTTCTGAATGGTTGCCCATTTCTACAGCAAAGCTTAAACAACTGTTTCATTAAATCTTCTTCTCCCTCTGTTTTAAAGATTTTTACTAATGTGGGAATCAAAAGGTACTCACATTCCTCTAAAAAGTAAATTCTTCAAATGTTTTTGGTCTACCTGGAAGTATCACATTTCTTGTAAAAGATTCTGTCTTTTGCAGACACATTCTAAGCATCAGAAGATGCCTATGACTTTTAAAACAAAACATTGTAGATTGTGAAGTTTCCCCAGAGAACTTGAGTAATATACCTTTGGACGTGTTATCCCCTAACTATTTTTCACTTGGGATGATCTTTGCTTTAGCATAATGCCGGTGTTAACACTGAATAATTCACAGGCAAGAAAATGCAGTTTCTAAAAACACTTGCAAAGTGTCCTGCAAGTGTATTCAACCTCACATGAAGAAGTCACCATTTTACCTTGCAGATTTGCCCTATTCTGGCATGAGTGGCTTTTCCAGTGTGCTCTCCATCAATTGCACTTTCACGGAAGAAGAAATAGATTTTGTCATCTTCTGGATTGTCACTCTCTGGTATCAGGTGAGCACTAATAAATCTAGGATCTGAGAAGACAATGCCGTTATGCACATTACTGCTCCATGAATTGAATCACTTGCCTTCCTTATATAAATGGAATATGACTTTGCTTCTCAAGAAACAATCTTTGCATCAAACGGTAAATACATCTATGTTAGGTACATTAACATATGACAGGTATTTACATAATACATAGAGGTGATTGCTACAGATATTTAATGAACAGATCTTAACATTATTATTGGAGCAATTAAGCATTTGTGAAATCTCTTTACAAATAGATGTATAACATTATAGCATGGCTTCCTAATTTCATGTATTTATTACTGACACTTTCTTGTTTCTTTGGATGTTTTGACTTTGGCAAATAATCTTTCTGTATGTGTCACATACTGAATGAGAGAATTATTGAGACAAATGTTATATTCCTAACTTTAGCAGTAATTAATAATATATAAAGTATGATACATCTAGAATAATATTAATGTGTTACTGTCAAAAAAATTAGTTAAAAAAAACAGTTTTTATTTATTCTGTCTACTTACACAGTATGATACCCCAAGCCCCAACATTTTTGTCTCATTTTCAGAAGAGAAATGCACTTGTGAATTTCTATTCAAGTTGCTGAAATACCGTGTCTTTTCATTTTTTAAAGTTTGTTTGTTTTTTTTAATAAAATCTGTATTTCTTGACAATTAGAGTGGTAACATTATTTGGTGATAAAGAAGATACATCAACAAATGAAAATACATAGAATGCAGACATACTGATCAGTTATGTAAAAAATGGTGGAAAGAAGTTTATCATAACAGTAAATTCATACCAGTGGTGAATCTGGCTCATCATTGTATTTTACAGAGATACTTCATTTGGTGTCTTTCACTATATTTGGAAAAATAAGGCATATCCAACAGATTTACCATTTTAAATCCTGCTGGGATAATTAACTGTGAACTATATTTAACTACCCAGAGTTCTGTTCCTATGTAAAATTATAAGCTGTTTTAGTGTCATGCATTAACATCTTTTCAGTGTACGTTTATTGTTACATAGTCATGGAAATAACGACCTGTACTTTGTTTTGCCAGTTTGCACTAGCTGTCCTGTGAAACCCATTGCCTTATTAGGGATGGCAGTGTTTGTAAGCAACGCATTTTGATAGATTTATATATATGCATGTATGTGTTTAGATGTTCCTCTTATATGAGTACATACTGCATAATTTTGTGTGTATATATATATTCTCATGTACTCTCTGTGTATAAATATATATGTATATGTATATTCTCGTGTACTCTCTGTATATAAATGTATATGTATATTCTCGTGTACTCTGCGTGTGTGTATATATGTATATACATATATACACACACACACACATACACAAAGTACATGAAAATGACCATACTTGTTTAGAACAAAATTTACTTAGATCAATACACAGACTCCAACATTATCCAGAAGTAATTATCTGGGACAAAGAATGAATATGGTAAGCACAAATAATACTCTCCCAGAATAATCTCCCTTCCTCCAACTATTTTCAGTGTAGCTGATTCCCTGAGCTTGGTTGCTTTCTATGTGCTTAGTAACTCTCAATAGATTTTTCATACACTTATTTGTCTAGCCTCTTCTTGAACTAATGCAAATTTCCAACATCCATAGTGTCATTTTCAAATTTGTTCCTCGTGTACACAACCTAATGAACTAAAACCTACTTCTGATTTCGTGTTTTGAACATTAATCTCACTAACAATTTGGTGCTTCTTAATTCCTGTAGTGGAAATACCCACAGTGTTCACAATGTGGATGAATTGTGCTCTTATACAAGTGCTATAGCAATACTCTTTGTTGAATTCTCTGTTGCTTTTCTATTAATTGCTAACATTTAATATGGATTTGACAGTTCCTAAGCAGTAATCTGAAATTTTCATGGAACATTTTGTGGCATAAGCTCACAACCTTACTGTTCATTAGTAATGCTCAGTCCACAGTCCATCATTTTATGTGTGAAGGTAGGCATGTTTTCCTCATGGTTTTCCCCATAGTTTATGACTACATCATTCATCAAGAATAATTTAATTTGTCATTTGATTGTTTAGCTATCCAGTTGCATAAGATCCTTTTGTAACTCTTCACAGTATTCCTTTGTCTCATTGTGCTGAATAACTCAGTATCGTGTGAAAATTTTTCTCATCCTGCTGCTCAACCTCTTTTTCAGGTTATTTATGAACATGTTGAACAACGCAGGCCACAGATCAGATCTCTGTGGAACTGTGTCTGTTACCTATTGTTTCTTAAAATAAATCTTTTTAGACATCTGAAAACATCAAAAATCTGTAAGAGTTTAAGCTTTCCACCCCAAACCTCAGGAACTTAAGCTACTAAATTAACTTCCTTTCTTTCTAGCATGCATTTAATAGTCTTTAGGTTACACTGACACAAGGTCCAAGATAATAATATCTAGACTATATTGTACCATGGCAAATATCTGTTATTTTATATACAATCTACTAGGGCTTTGAATGCAACTCATATCACAAGCAACACAAGGCCACAGCTTGATTTCTGCATCACAGCCTGTGGAAGGATAAATCAGAGAAAGAGGATACCCATTAGTAGACACTGTTCTGGCCTAATGGCTCTGAAGAACTTCTTGTCTGAATACACTGTTTTTACAGTCTTAAGGTCTTAATGAAAAGGGTAAAAAAAATTAAAATAAATCATTCAAGCAAAACCTAAATACATTCCCAAATGGTTGAATGATTTGTTTCTAGTGCAATGGGTTTTGCAAGTCACAAGATATCAAATTCTAAAATAAATCACTATATTATCAAGCATCAAAAATCTAACTTTACATTGGCCTGTGAAGACACTGTGAGGAATTCCATTTGAGTCCATAATATTGCTGATACAGTACGGGTTATAGAAACTTGCCCTTGGTTAGCATATTATTATTCTTTTCTTTCCCTCTGATAATTTTGCAAGTGAACCTAGAAACAGTAAGAGAGGCTAGTATTAAAGTAAGACAGATAGAAAAATAATTTTCAGTTAGTGATTAATAATCCTAACTACATCACTGAAAATAAAGTGGTCACACAGCCTCATTTTAGAAAACATCCATTGTACATCACATAACTTTTTTTGTTGAATAACACTGGTGTTTCTTACTGAGCAAATCTCAGGCTGTTTCACCATCTGGTTAAATTGACATAGTTTAGCCAATTAAAGAGTGGTTCTTCATGTTATATAGTCAATAAAAGAGTGGCTCTTCATGTTATCGGGCCCTTGCTCTTGTTACCTGATGGTGGTTGGTTTTTTTCCCTCTTTCATATAACAGATCTACGTCTATGCAACGAAGCAAATAAAGAACAGGCTACACGTGTTCTGTTGCATATATAGAAATAGATTCATTTCTGTTCAGAATTAATATAATGATCATAAAAGCATCATCATGGTTGTATGTGTGGAAAGAAGGAGAGAAATGTGGCTGATAATTTTATAGGTTATAAAGCTAAGAAGTGGGTGGTGTGAACTAGTGATCTGTAGTGTTTTCTTTATTGTTTCATTAGTGGTGGAGCTGTTTGACTTGCCTGAGGCTTGATGCACACTTGCATTTAACTCCAGGGCTTCAGACCATGCTTACAACTAACTGTTTAGGGTCATGATGAATCAATCAGCCAGATGGCCGGCAGTCACGCAACATAGCCCTCTCCATGGACTACATAACATTTTTTTATTGCTCTTCATTGAAGAAGGGAAGGGAGATGTTGTCCACAGATAAGGGACTTCTTGACTCTCCTAATTGCTCACCCATGCAGCAGAAGAAAGAATGTAATCCACGAATGTATATGCTCAAGTATTGAGACTACCCTGCCTTACCCTGCAAAATTAAACAGATTTGGTATCAAGGGGTCCCCATGGGAAGTTCAAAATAATTCAGTTAGGGTTGACCTATTTCATACATTTAACACAGCCACAAAAGAAGTGCTGGAATTAACTTCAATCAAGTTTTACTGAATGGAAAATGGGACTTTGATCCAAAACCACTGACGACAATTGTAAAAGTCAGTGCACTGCAGCTCTTGTGGATAGATAGGATGAATTCAAATTTCTGTGTATGAATTATCAAGTATTTCGTGACCCTAAAACTGTCTCCAATCCACGAAGCACTCAGAAATGCTGTTACAACAGCTCAACACTTTCTTGTTAAACAGCAGTCTGCCATTGGCTAAAAGTCCAGAAAGCATGTTTTGGGAAAAATTAATTTAAGAAAAAAAATGATGGCAAATGTTTTGAATGATTCATTGCTTTAAGAAAAAACCCCAAGCAGACAATGTGGAAGAGTGCTTTAAAAAACAGCATACATCAAACAAACATATCTGAAACATGTTTAAGCATGATCAAAGGAGAAACAAAGCCACAGCATAAACATGATCAAAATAAAATTACAGCTGAAAACACTTCTCTGATCTCGCAGCCAATGTGAACAAGCTAAAAATAAAACCTTAGATTTTTATTTAAAACAATCAGCCTTGAGAAGCATATTATTAAAGCACACACCTTTTTCAGCCTCCTTTTTCCAGTTGTCTTGGCTGTGGAACTATTTCTCAGCTCCCACATGACTCCTTTTTTGCACCACTTTTTGTGCCCTCCTGCAATGACTAGGCTCTGCAGACATTTCACTGGCAGCAGCCCATTAAACTGTCCTTCATAAGAAATCTGTCTCTTTATGAAAATGCCACCTTGGTCCAGCTGCCTCTACGATTTATATGCCATTGTTTGTTTAGTTAAGTAATGGAAACATGTTTTGCTTGTCTCAGCACTTCAGGTTGAGAAAAAGCTGAGGAAAATCGATCTGCATCGGTTCTTTTACAAATGTTACTCTTTAGCAGTAAACAACTGCACACCCCTCAATAGCACAAAACTATAAAACTCACAAATTGGATTTCTAACTGAATTGTATTAGCATCTTAATGAAGATCTATAAACTTGAAGGCAGAGAAATTACCTTTAGCTGTCAAGA